TTGAGAAAATATTTGGAACTAATTCCTGGTAAGCACTCCATAGATTCACTGCAAAAAACAGCTATCCTGGGAACATCACACATACTACGGAAAGTGCTACAGTGCGAAGCTTGAAGCCTGAGTGGTGAGGTGCATCACTGGTTCAAGAAAAGGAATACCAGGAAATAAACCTGTGACAAGAGATTATAATAGTAATAATAATAATAATTAAATTCCTTTAAGTGCTTGTCCGGAGCGAGTAAACTGTAACAGGCGAGCACTGAAAGTGTACATAACAAAAGCTAGATTAAGCCTAGAACTAAAACAGACTAAAATTTAATACTAAGCAATAAAATGATACAGGTAACACGGCAATGACGTAATTGAGTAGGGATAAGCGAAGGAAAATGCATCTCCAAGGGAGATGTAGTGTTATTGAAAACGTCCAGAGATTATCAGATGTTGTTTGCAGCCGTGACGCACCATGTTGAAGGGCTGTCTTGACACATTGCTCATTCCAAAGGAAGAAAAGTCTCTGGTTTGCTTAGTGGGTACACGGAGAGCAAGAAGGTCCATAATAGAACAGTCAACTTTGTTCTTGAAAAACGTTAATAAGAAATAAAGCGTGAAGTTTTTGTCTCCTAGAATAATTCAATTCAGTTCAGTTCAATTCAATTCGTATTTATTTACGTGCAAACTTAACAGCACAGAGGCCAGTTACTAATAACAACNGTGCTTAATTGGTTAATCACAGGGACGACTTAACCTTACCTGGCAGACTTATAGTCTTTGCCATGCAAGAAAATGGATTTACAGAAAACTGTGTAGAGAACCGAGTGGTTTAAGATGAAGCCCAAGGACAGATTTTTATTTGCAGTTATGAAACTGTGGGTTTCATAAATTTAGACAGTATCATGACATACTGAATAGATGTAAGAACGCATTTCTGTTTCATATTATTGTTGTTGCTTCAGAAGAACCTGCATGACTCTGCCGGACGCTCCAATGTCTTGTCTTCGCAGCAAACAAGTTCGGGTAACGAGACGCCCTTGGGGTTCACAGCCACCAGTCCAGCTCCGCCACTTCCCCCTAGAGGTCTCTCGTCATCTTCAGTGGCCCAGCCTCCTGGAAGCAGCACCAGGACAGTGCAAGGTAAAGCATTCATCAGTGGTGAATCATGCGTGATGCCGCGGTGATCGCTTCACATAGACTTCCGATTTTTAATTCGTTGGTGTTGAGAAAAACTGGATTCTAAGAGGTTTAGAATAACAGGTAAGTTTATGCACTTTACTGTAGACGGCGACGTGCTTTGTGCTGGAGCACTGTTGTCCTGTTCTCGCATTCAAATCACTTAGTTCAATGCACCTGCAAATGAAGCATTGTCGATGGTACCCTTTTCAAAAGAGTTAAATAATTCCCAGACCACTACACAGAAACACTATAAATGTTATTAACGACAACAGTAATAACAGCAGCTAAACAACCTACATATAAGTAGTTCCCATAGTTCTGTCTCCCACTGGAACCATCCCAGGCAATCTACATAGTTGCAGCAGTCTTTACAGCTACATTCAACTCCAAAATATAGTGAAGCTAGACACGTCCTCCATATCAGTACATTTACAAATATCGTAATCCCAATATGATAATGCCACTAATATTTTAGTTACAACTATTTCATGCAGAGTTACTGTACATATGTTACTTCTAGAAATACCTGTTGTATGTCAGTATACTCTGGCCACATTCAGTATGCTGGAGAGTAGTATAATGTATTATATAATAATTCAATCACAACAGCAAATAGCGTAACAGACGAGAACTATAAAAGTATAACAATAACTAAAACGATTGAAGCAACGACAAGAAACTGAGAAGATTTATGTAGCAACAACACTAGATTTGCATTTGGATCGCACTTTAAACAACAATGCCTTTTTTTTTACTTTTTGTGTAAGGAAGAAAATAATTTTATTCATAGGCCAGTCATTTTATGCTGTTTTATGCATTTGCAGAACACGGATGTGTTATAAGTACCCATTGTCTAGCTGTTATATATTTTAGTGTAAAATTACCCATACCAGTTATATTGAAGCACTAATTTTCTTTCATAGTTCCACATTTGCATCGTTTCTTGTTTTAAAAATATTGGACGCACTGGACATGAAACTGCAAACTTTGAAGGTGGCAAATAGCACCGAAATAACTGAGACACATACAAATATGTATTAGTTAAATGTAAGTTCTTATTTGCTCAGTATTTAAATGAAGGGAGAATCAGGAAGAAAGTAATATACTGTTCAATTTGCTAATTTATAGGTTATAATATGTACACCAAATATAACGTATTTACTAAAAACTTTCACAATTGTTGCACTCTGAATGGAGAAAACAGACTTGGGAATGACGGAATACAAACACTGAGAACATTCTGACTTAAGAAAGAGGCGAACGAAAATAATTATATCGGGAAGAGCTTCATCAGTTCTGTTCACCCACTGTTGTAGGGACGATTAAATTAAGGAGGATGAGATTATCAGGGATTTCACTGTGCATTCGATTATTTATTTATTAATTATTTATTGAACTGTACTATCAGTATTTACATTTCATACCATCGAATTGTCATAGTAAATAGAAAATACGTGGAAGGAAGCAGTGATGACCTCATTTTAGGTACTATCCCTGCAAGTGCCAGAAGGGACTGATGAAAACCACAAAAACGTCAGTCAGGGTAGTCAGTATCCCAGTCAAGATTCAAACTCTTTTCCACCTGTACCTGAAGCGTCACCGCTTCATCCATCTTTTTTGGTAAGTACGGAAGGTCGCGGGTTCAAATCCCGATGACTTTATTGGATTTTTTTTCAATTGACCGAATCCTTCCAGCCGCAATATGGCCCTGGGGTTGACTCAACCTCCAACAGAAATGAGTACCAGGAATTAATTAAATTTTTCTGGGGAGTAAAGCACGGCCGGCGCGTAAGGCTGACAAACTTACCGCCATTTTTGAGCCGATTGTCTAGAATCTAGACTCTAGATGATGTGGGACCCTCACCGTCTCACAACCGTATGGGTCTTCATGGCCTGTAACAGGGATAGCTTTAGTTACTTTTTTTTTACGCATGGGGTAGATAACAAATGTGAACAATATTTTAGTCAAAATTCCTAAGGAAAGTGACCGCTTTGAAGACCATGACATAGAAGGGAGGATAATATTGAAGGAAGCCTTAGACTAATAGAATGTGAAAGAATGAAGAGGGTTGTACTGAAGATAAGGTCCAGTGTTTGGGGTTTCGTTGGCACTGCAAATGAAACTTCTGGATTTATGAACTCTAAACTCCCCCAGCTGCGAATTTGCCAACTTTTCAAGAATGACTGCACCATGAATTCAATGGGCTGGTGCATTTCTGAATACCGTTCATTGCTAAACACGTGGTTAGACACAAAGGAATAATGTAACATAACCTGAATGAAACATCTAGAAGCGTCTAATTCATCAAACGGAAAGCAGAGCAGACTCCTTAAACACATATTGCTCACCTGATGATGGCCAGTGAGGCCGACACATGTTGTGAAATAAAGTAGAAGAAGACACATCGAAGACTCGTGTATTTTAATTGCACAGGACGGATAAGAATCAGAACAGTATTATACTTCATATATAGTGCAACAGGATGCTGAAATATGATATTAAGAACAGTTGGGTTTTGTAATTTAATTAGCTGCAAGCATGCAGTAGCTTTTGTTGTTCCTAAATAAGTGCGGCGCTGTATAAACTTGGTTCCATTCTTAGAATGATACATGGTGTTTATTCTTTCTAAAACTCTTTGGAATGTGTCCTTCAGACCTTGACGAAAGAACTGTCCAGACATTTCAAACGGCTTGTTTGCAATGTAATATGAGAAATATTCTTTTTTCTTCGTGTTGGTTACGTACACTTATCATCTCCAGGTTCTTGAACTCACACACACATGTTGCTTCTGTGATCTTCAGAACACACATGTTTTCGGCCGAACCATCACTAATTCGTTATAACACTTGACTGCTGCCAATGGCACCACAGCCAGGAAATGATCCTGGGATGAATAAGATAGCAATTTATATCAGGGTTTTATTCCTGCCTGTGAATCGGTGATTCGTGCCAGGCGAAACGGTTCTGGAGCACCAATTTCTCTTCCTGCCTACTTAGAAAGCAATACATGCGCTATTCTTACTTACTTACTCATGGAGCTGAGCCCTTCTGGAGGAGCGGCCAATTCTACAGCTACTCAAGAATTTCCCAGCATTCTATGGAACCCGAAGGTTCATCACCGTGTTCACAAGTGCCCTACACTGGTCCATATCCTGAGCCAGATCTATCCAATCCATACCATCCCATCCTATCTCTCTAAGATCCATTCTAATATTGTCCACCCACCTACGCTTTGGTCTTCTCTGTGGTCTCTTTCCTTCTGGCTTTCCCACCAATATCCTATACGCATTCCTCGTCTCCCCCATTCGTGCTACATGACCTGCCCACCTCATCCTCCTAGACTTGATCATTCTAATTATACTTGGAGAAGGGTACAAGTTATGAAGCTCCTCATTATGCAGTTTTCTTCAGCCTCCTGTCACTTCATCCCTCTTTGGTCCAAATATTCTCAACACCCTGTTCTCAGACACCCTCAGTTTATGTTCCTCCCTTAATGTCAGAGACCAAGTTTCACACCCATACAGAACCACAGGCAAAATTATAGTTTTGTGTATTCTAATTTTTATGTTTTTGGACAACAGGCGAGAAGACAAAAGGTTCTGGACTGAATGGTAGCAAGCATTACCCGAGTTCGATCCCCTCTTAATTTCCTCCTGAATCAGGTTTAGATCTGTTATCGTTGTTCCCAGTTATCTGAACTGATCCACATTTTGAAAACATCTGTTTCTTATCTTTATGTCATGATTTTGCCCTGCATTTTGGTGACGAGACAGTAACATATATTTAGTTTTCTCTATGTAGCTAAATGTTTATTTGTTATTGGGCCTTAGCAGTACTTTTTATCTCCAGGGTCTTAGTGCTTTTATTAAGGGGAACGAAAGAGAAAGATATTTGGACTTGAACCTATGCTTTTAACAGAAAAATTAACAAATTTTCATTTTCTTTTATCTAAAGCGAACGTCTTTTTTATCTCAACTTATCCGATAACATTCACAGTTGCTGAGTCGCAGAGCGAGAAGAACAGAAGCAGACAGGCGGATATAGGCCTATGTATAAACAGTAAGAAACTACCTGCAAGAGATATTTTTTCGACATGGGGATTAGCCGTAGCGTTAAAGTCGCTTCGCCATAAAGTATTATGTGGTGCGAAATTCTTGTACAATGTCTTAGAATTAGGTGGATATTTAAAATTTTAAGGCAAAATTTATATTTATAAAGGGAATGAAAATTTGTTCCCTAGAGTTCATGTCTTTTGAGGCGTGCCAACGATGACTCTAGAGTGATGTGGAATGCTGTCCTGGCATTTGCGTACTAATAATGAAACGAATCACAGAAAACTCTAGGATAGCCGATTTCCCACAGTGATTCTACTGCGTACTTTTCGATTGCGATATAGACGAGCCATCACTATGCTGATAACCTCTTTTAATTGAAATTTTAAGTTTTGTAGATAGATACCAACTTTTCTGAGGAACCCGCTGTCTCCATCTTCAGGGATGTCTACCTGCAATATGTTGGTAAATATTTACCAGAATATATTGAGTCTCGTTCAAGAAGACCATAATTGTAATGCCATTTTTTTCTAGTCGGTAGACACTGGGGTTCACCGGAGCGTGTGATGGCTGTTTCAGCAGCATAACGCTTTGAGGTTTGTCACCACGAGTTATTGGACTGCTTTTTAACCTGTGTACTTTCCACAGCTGAATTATTTGTTGATTTACTTAATGATGCTATGTCCACTGCTATGTTTGTCAAGCGTTGATGAGAAAGGGCAGAGAGACTAAAAATATTTTGTCGGTAATAATATGGAAGGAAGAGTTCGTGGCCTATATCAAGACACTGTTTGAGTATTTCCTCGAGGGACAGATGAAAAATAAGAAAGGTCTCTGTAAGGAGGACTGTTAATCGCGCGGAGAAGCATCCTATAACCATTAGAATACGGTAAAGGAGTCAATTAACT